TTTATTTGTATATTTTCTCTGTAAATCTGTTTAACACGCACAATTTGTTTTGAGCGTGAAGCTTTCGTAATTTGTCGTTCTTGCACAATGACAGTAAAGTTCTTGAATCTTGAATCTTCAGTTGTTGAAGAGCCTGAAACAAGAACATTTAAAATACCGGTGAAAGCTCAGTTTGAGCTGCATTAACGTAGACAATTACAATTTCACAGTATTTTGTCTTGTCAGCCTGGTCAGAAATGTACAACACCAATTAGCCAGGTCCCTGCAAGTGACACAACATGTAGCAGAGGAGTAGAATCCCAAGTGCACACAGAGGCCACAGAAAATGTCAATGGTTCAATGAGAGCTTTGTAGTTTTAGGATGAATATAGACTTCACGTCACGCTGGGAGACGCCCACTTGGCACGGCAACAATGAGTTTCCTGTGCACGCTCAGGGGTCTAAACACGAGAGTGAGTAAAATACAAGAATGCAATAAAGGCACAACTCCACTGAAACTCCTTTGGAGACCAAACAAAGGAAGAAGCAGCCGAGCATGGAACATCCATCTCCGCTCATCAGCTGAGAGAGGGCCAGATAAAAGAGTAATCCTGTAATTGGGCTGTGTGGACGCCTCTGTCTCGCCTCAACTCATCAACAACAGCATTTGTAAATGGATTCATTTTAGGAAATGGACAAAAAGGAAGGTGACTCCTACGACCAATGACCATCTTACAATATATTCTGGTTTGGCTGTTTTCCCGATCATGACTTAAAATAATATCACTAATAGAGAAAAGTATGGTCTCTACGACGAGACCAGACCAGACCAGACCAGACCCCCTACTTACTTTTGTCCTAATCACTAGTTCCTAATCACGGCTGTAGCTGATTACTGCAAATAATCATCTTTAACCTAGAGAGAAAACCTCTTTCGTTAAGTGGAAGATACTGCTGCTCATGATGAAAACTAAATACATGCACTGAATTTAGAGTTGAAAAATGACTTTACCAGACAAAAATGATATTAATCTTCAGACTAGTGAAAGCTTATTTTATTATCAGACATCATGTGACCACTCTGCCTTGTTTTTATGAAAACACCTCGTCCCACTGCCGGTCCACGTCTCGTTGTACTAAACCCCACTAAGCTGATAAGTTTGGTTCAGACTGAGAGCATCAACATGGGACACGGCGGCGCAGAACTCGGAAATTGCTTCACTGAGTCAGCGCAGCACAGATCTCAGCGAAATAATGTCCCACCTGAGACTTTCTGCTGCTGACCTTTACCAAAACAAGAGAAAAACATCTCTCACATCTGTGTCAGGGGAAGGAAGGAAAATTCAAAAGAAACTTAAGTACAGACACGGTCATAAAAAGTAATACAGACCTCATCGTGCAGTTAATCACTCATTGATTTTGTGCTGATCACGGATTATAAACATTAAATTTCCGGTCTCAGTCTTAAATAAACATTTTCATTTATCAGCTTTTAGGCTTCTATCTAATTCATCTGCCTAAGTATTGGATGATGGTAATTGTTCGAGTTTACTCGTGTTTCTAAGGCAGCAATTAAACTAAAGTAGAACGATCATTTTTTACAGTGTTACCTGTAAGTTACTGTAAACATGAACCTAAACCAAACAGCAGCGATGATCCAGTTGTTGTGTTGAGCCTGAATCTGGGAACGTCAACACTGATGTTTCCCTTCAAACAGAGCTCATGCAGGTTTTTACCCTGCCAGCTCCTTCAGACTCCACACTGCTGATTTAGCTCTTGTTTACTCTAATGCTCTCTTAATTAACCTGCACACGGAGGCACTACACCGACACAGTGAGGCTTTCCAAACGCAATCAGATATTGCCCACACAACACTCCAGAGGCCGCTCAGTCAGGCTGAAAATGATGCTATAAGGGAAAACAAGATCTGGACCACCTACAGTTTACTGAGCAGAGAAGAACAGAAATAAATTCTGTTCACTATTATTCTTAAATGAAATCAATATAAAAACATGGATATTTAATTAAGCAGTATTCCATCAAGCTAACAAATTCAACATCAAAATTATTAAATACAGTTTACTGCAACTTGCATCTGAATATAAAGATAACATGTGCCAAACACACGCTTTGTGAGATCCAAAGGTTCAACTCTGGACTGAATCCTTTGAGCCAACAGAAGGTTCTTGGTTCGAAACCCTGCCAGGAGTCTGTGTGTGGAGTTTGCATGTTCTCCACATGTCTGCGAGTCTGAATGGTTGTTTGTCTCTACATGTCGGCCCAGCGGCATGCTGGGTAATGGATGGAGAATATAATGTGGCAGTATAACATTATGCAAACAAATTCATCATCAAATGTATTAAATAAAATGCAACATGTCAATATGAATATAATGAGCTGCCTGCAGGTAAACACAGGCTTTGTGAGATCCAGTAGTCAAGCTCTGCACCGACTCGTCTGGGTGAAAGATGGAGGAGTGAACGTCAAGGTCATTAAGATGAAGAGCAGAACCTTTAACAGTCTCATATGAGAGACCCCACCCGTCAGTGTCACATAATGATGCCAGCATTGTAACCAGCCTCACTCTTACAGATTTCTATTTGCTCCCAGGTTGTGGCTGCAGCCAATATTCATTTTGTTGTGTCATAATGTCACCATGGAGGCTATTATACACTGTTGTTCTGTTATTGTGTTAAACTCTTACAATGCATGAGGCAGAGGGTGAGGGGATTTTTGTCTAATCATGATCAAGCAAAATGAGTCAGTTTGTAAGCCCTTGCTGTGCAGATTACTCATGCTGTGCACACATGTACAGGGGGATCAACAGAATGTAGCAGCACATTCAACTTGATACACAAGAGCAGTGCACATGCTTGAGCAGAGAAACAAAATGGAGGACACAAAAATATCTGCACTGGTACTGCAAAAGCATTATATTTCACAAGATGGAAAGTCTACGCTGTCGATTCTGACAAACCCTATCAAATGCACCGTTACCGTGTGTTGCCCTTTCACTCAGCGTGCAGCCAAATGCCAGAGTGGAATAGCAGTAGATGCACAAGGATCAATAAGAATCCTGTTAACATGCATGCATAGGTTCGTCCTAATGGCTCTCTGTGGTGGGATTTGTTCCAGTCACACCTGGCTTGATGCTGTGAATTACTTGTTTGAGTTATTCGATTCCCTTCCAGGCCATCTACACAATGTGAATGCACTCAGAAGAACAGTGGGAGTCAAAGTGTTCACCGTGTGAGACGTACGCTCCACTTGAAGATTCATACATCTCTTTTTACTTTTCACATTTTCACAAAATTACAACAATCTCCAATCAGCATTGAGCAGAGGTGAAAAGAAATACAAGCGACAGATCAACTCCACACACACGAGACCAAATAATACAGAGACAGTGCTCCGAGTGGTCCTTCAATTTCAGTTGATCTTTGTCAACACGGCTAGAGAAGTAAAAAATAAAAACCAGTTATCATCAGGCTATTTGAGATTTTTGCCACCAGATCCAATATTAATGCTTAAAGTTAATATGGAGACTTAAATGTACAAAGTCTCAGATGTGGGTGTACGATGTGACAAAGAGACTGACTGTCTCTGACTGCACACAAGTGGCCACTCATTTCAGACAGAGGAGCCTCCTACCATTTAAGTTGCAGCAGTTTCAGGTCTAAAATTGAAGCGTAGACATGAGCAGAGCGGCACACACTCACTGAGCGGTGATGCTCGCAGGCCTTTTGAAAATCACGCCTTTGTTCCTCTGAATGCACAGACAGAGACAGGGACCATGCTGGGAGCGAGAGAAGCTGCCAACGGGGAAGCATCTTTCTCTCAGAGTGAGATAAACAATGCCCCGTTCATCAGGGTCAACAATGTGTGGTTCCACCTTTTTACAAACCAAAGAGCTCCTGAATAGCAAACAACGACTCATTAGTTCAGAATTGACCCGTCCCTATTCTTATACATTCATTTAACAGAAGACCGAAAAATGTGTCCAAACCCAGAGTGAGTCATCATTTTTCATCTGCATAGAATTTGAATTAAAAAGCAACTGCAGTAAAAATCCATAGGAGGTTTTTTAATATTAGTATTAATGTCTCAAATCAAATCATATTTCTATTGCCCATATTCACAAATCCCAGTTTCCTCATAGGGCGTAATATTGTGTACGTTCTGAACCCTCGACTGAGGAGAAACTACCAAACAAATGTTGCATGTGTCAAACAAAATTACAATATTTAAAAGATGTATGAGAAATAACCGTGTCAAACAAAGGCAGAGGTACATATTAATGTTGAGAGCATTCATGCCAAAAGGAAAATGTCTGACAGAGATTAATAATAATAATAATTTTCACTATCTCAGTCAATAACAAGTGAGCATAAGTGTCAGTGCACTACCTGAGCCTGTTGCCAGCACAGTCATGCCACACAACTGCTCACACTGAACACTGGCCAAACTAAAATGCCAGCTGACTCAGACGGTGCTGTGTGTCATAGGGCCGGCCTCCTGTTGCACCACCACAAACTGACTGAACTCCACTCAAGTGCACCGAGCAGTTTTCACAGGAGTTGTTGTTCTACACAAGGTCGAGCAGAACTGCGGTCCTGTATGTTTCACTAATCCTCAGCAGATAGTGTTTACCATAGTCTGTCTATGATGGACGACATGACAGCGCCCCACAAGTGAAGCCAAATCATCTTGATCTGGTGGCTGGCTGATCTTTTCAGAATCTTTCAGATTTGTTTTCTGAAAGATGGTTTCTGTCATTTTTGGTAGTTTTTATCACATCGATGTACGTTTGATTGACTGACTCGGAATTGGTCGAAAATATGCAACTGCCCAAGATGGCGGCGGTGTATTCGGGTATATCTTAGTTTTGGTTTTGCACGTCGCGAGGAAGTAGAGATGCGTCGTCCATCTTTATATACAGTCTATGATGTTAACCATCATGGCCTAGCATGTAAGCAGGCTAACATCTGCTAATTAGCTCACACTGATACGATTGTGGTAATGTCATCAATCCTACTCACTGGAAAAAGATGGATATGATATATCCACTATAGTTGAGATGTTTCAGTTGTGACTGTGTTGGACTCAAACCAATCTGTCCATCCATAACGGCTTGTTGCTAGCTTAAAAAAATCTATTAACTTAAGTCTGAGAAGCAACAAATTTTGTGCAATGAAATAGAAAAACTGTTTCTGCATTAAATATTAAATATTACTCTCACTGCTGATTAAATCTTGCAAAACTAATTTCCATGATGATTCTAAGCTCAACAGTGTTTTTGAAAAGTAGCAAGAAAGAACAAGCATCTTTCTGTCATGGACACACACATCCACACACACACTGCCAGATTGAGGATGACACAGCTGGAGCTGCAGTATTTTGCTCGGAGAGATTTCACAGAGTGCAGACAGAGTACTTGGATGCATAAATGGTAGTCATCCATCACAGCAACCAAATTATGTCAACGGCCACAGTGGAAGGTCTTCAGAGACATGTAGCATGTATTTCATTATCCCCTGTAAATACGCAGTAACTGTGGATCTAAAATCAAAACGGTGGTCCCTTCAGTCACAGCATTTCAGAGCTTGGACACTAATTTCTATCCAGCACAAACATTATGGAAGCTCTAAATCCCCAGATCTCCGCACACATGCAACAGAGACGTCTCTTTCATAAGTGCAGATTCTGTAATTTTCCAACTGCTCATCACTCAAAGCAAAACATTCCCCACCTCTTGCTTATTCATGTCACAACCCCGTCGCTAAACCGAACCATTAAGGCTGTGACATCCCCTCTAACAGGGCGCACACACAGAAACAAATTGTATCCCACTTTTGTGCATTGAAATTCAGTCCTCGGTGTGTGTGAGGGAGAGAAAGCTCTTTCCAACAGATTACTGAAGCTGCATCTATTTCCATTTGCTGGGTCAGCACAAGGCACATAAGCCTCTCATGCCTCTCAATTAAATATTAATGGATATGGGAGATAAATTTAGACAGCTATGCTTAACTGAAATGAATACGGTCAGAAGAATGTGCGAATCGATCAGATGAATAAAAAAAGTTTCTGGGAAAACTGGAAGTGGGCAGTCTGCTACACAGGGTGTGGCTGGGCAGGTGGAAACTTTTCAGTATTTCTGAAGGTTATTCTAAATGTGTTCAAGATACAATTTCAGGGAAATAACAGGAACTCTAATATAATACAAACATGACAAGCTTCACTCACTGTTGATTAAGGGAGGACACTGCTGGATTACGTTGAAACCAAACATGGAGCAGATCATCTGCACAGTAAGCAGCAAAGATTATCAGTGCTGAATAGATTTATAATATAGAAATAAGAACTTAAATATTCATATATATAGAGAGAGACAAAATAAATTGAAGATACAAAGGCAAAAAATTGTTTTAAGATCATTTAAGATCTAATTTGAGAATTAGAACAGTGCACAATGGCAGATGAAATCGAGGTCTCAAACTCAACTCGAATTGGACGCAATGAATTGAACGTTTTTATGGTCTCAGCCTAGATCCCGGGACATCCACAAACATCAGGATGGTCGACCCCAGTGCTCGGGATGGAGCAGGAAGGTGCAACTAAAGAAAATGGTCCATTTAAAATCTAATCCATTTTAAATAACTAGCTAATAAAATCCTAAACTCCATCCTGAATTTGAAAGGAAGCCATTGAAGAGTTGCCAGTACTGCTGTAATGTGATCTAGCTTTGTTTTTCCAGTGAGAAGGTGATGATGCACACAATGAAGAGACGTCAGTTCTACACCAGGACACAAGGAATTGAAATAATCGACCTGCAAGGTAATAAAAGCATGAATAACTCTCTTGAAGTCTTTGGTTGAGAGATTTCGGTCCATATTCTATTGATGGGCATACTCGGATACGGCAACCACTGATTGATCCTCTGCACAGAAGGTAGACATTGTGACTGTGTTGCTCCACAAACAGACAGTATGTGGGTGTCTCAATGAAACAGAGGCACTGTTTACACTGGACAATCTACCTGACAAACAGGAAAGTGGCTGTTATGCTGCAAAGACCATCATGGCTTCATCATAAAAGCTCCCGCCCGAGCTGCAGCATAGGAAGCACAACACCGGCACAGGGGTCCATTAGAGACGTCCAGCCTCAGCCTGTATACACCATTATTAAAATTACAGCTTTAGAATGAGGCCAGCGAAGCACTAAGAGGATATAAACTGCATCCTGCTGTATTACATTATGACGAGCAGCTCCGGCAGATGAGAAAATGAGGCACATGTGGTACAATGACGGCACAGTGATAAGATGCTAGGGGTCATTTGAAGGCTCGGTGATGACACACCACTGACTCCAGGGGCGTCCTGACCGACCAATCCAAATACAGATCCAGAAAATATGGAAAAAACTCAATTACATCCCCTCAGCTGAAAAGAGGCAGTCTCATTTCAATGTCATTTGTTTTAATCTACAAGCTTAATTAAAAAGGGGGAATCTCTGTGACCATTAGTCTCAGATGTGGAATCAATGGTTTGTAATTGCAGTGATGGGTGTGTAGGGCTCCAGCGCCTGTGCACACACACGCACACACACACACGCACGCGCGCGCACGCACACGCACGCACGCACACACACACACACACACACACACACACACACACACACACACACACACACACACACATGTGGGTGCAGCCATGTTTGAGCCTCTCATTCTCTCCTGATGATGACTTGCTTTTTCCCCCTCCTCACCATTATATTTGCATCACTGTTAAACCTGCTCATTTAAAGACTGCTTATATACTTTGATATTACAAAAGTGGCTCATATATGCATTCTACGCAGCGCAATTTGATATCAATGTTGTATTTTATGATTAATACTGAAAAATAAAAACTTTTATCCAGCACAGATGCATGTGAATGATTTAATGCATAAAAATCTAAACCTAGAGGGAGTTTTTACCGGTTGATTATGTGATATGAGATTATAAAAAATAATTGTTTGTGTCATGGTTTAGATGCAAATCAATAAATTGAGGCAGCTTCCTGAGAAGAAAAGCCCAGGAGCGGCGGTCATAGGCGGGGTGTCCACCGGCCTCTGTCCATGTCTGTGGTGCTGAAAGTCTCCCATCACTTAACACTGTTCACTGGTCTGTGCACGTGCAGTTTGCAGGAATGCACATTTCAATATGAGCAGAGACGAATGCACAAAAACCTGACTGCAACTGAAAAGACGCTCAGCTATTCCACACACGCACAAGCGCAACATCCATCCATCCAATCAGCAAAGGAACCGGCGGAGCGAGCGGCCACTATTATCCCCTCAAAACACACAATAAGGGAACGTGGTGCATCTAAAAACAAGGAGGAACACTCTCAAATTGCAGATTGGGCCTATGATGTATGTTATATGTGAAAAAAGCAAACCTACTCACCATCTCGCTCGCACAACTGTATGGCGTCTAGGCTCAGGTCCTTGATCATCCCCTCGCAGGGACTTAACGGACTGGTGATGTTGTGCGCCAAGCCTGGTACCTCCATCTCTGCAGCGGAACCTGGATGATGCTGTCTCTGGTGAAATGCTGCGGGTCGTTGAGTGTGGTACACGGGACTTGCAGGAGAACAGCTTCGGTCCACTCACGGAGGAAGGAAAGAGAAAGAGAAAGAGGAAGAGAGAGAGAGAGAGAGAGAGAGAGAGAGGGAGAAAGACGCGTTTTCCACTCGCTCCGCCGCGCACAGCAGCTCAGCTCTGTCTCCTGGGTGGTGCGGCTACTGGCGCGTCAGCGGAATCGTCACGGGCGCGAAACAGCTCAAGCCCGAGCTGCAGGTTCGGCTTTTTGCAACGTGAAGCAAAGCAGCTCCCGCAGAGACGCGTTTGCATGTACAAGATTCTGAGACGCTCGTCGTCTTGTGCGTTTATCTCATTCCACGCGCTCTCCGTGCACCCTGCGCATTGTCTGGTGCCTCCAGAGCCACAAGTGTGCGCCGCGGGACAGTTGAACATGAATAGTTCAGTGGATTAGTGCAGCAGACACGTTCTGCAAATTCAATGGTTTCTTATGTAACCAGATTATCCCAGTGTGCCCCCCCCCCCCCCCCCCCCCCCGGTTTAGGTCTCTAGCTAGATCCGTGCACACATGCACTCCCTTTCTCTTCCAGTTTCACGTTCAACGTCAGGCGGTGAGGGTCTCACATGTCCTTATATGGTGAGGTGGAGGTCTCAGGTGCAGGAGGAGCGCACAGTAATGAGCAGTGGGATGACTCGGACATATTGCTCCGCATAATGAATGAGCACCTCTGCTGTTATGTCTTATAAAGGATCATTTGTGCACTGTGGTATGGTAATAAAAATGCAAAACCATGTCTGAGAACCATGTGCTATATGCTTGGCTCTGTGTGTGTGTGTGTGTGTGTTGTTCAGCCTGAACAGTTCAGGTATTACTTACCTGTATTACTCATGTTGTTGGGACCTAAATCTGTTAACAAGGTCATATATTTAGTGGACTTTTCATCCTTATAGGGACAAAAAGAACGCAAATCATCAAAATCAAGATGTTTTAAGGTTGGGTTCAAGGTAAGGTTAAGGTTCAAGTAAGAATTAGGGTTAAAATCAAGGTTAGGGTTAGCATTAGGTGTGGGTTAAGGTTATGATTAAATTAGGGTTAGTTTGTATTTAGGGTTTGAACTAGGTCTCGGGTTAAGGTTAGAATTTGGATCAAGGTTAGGATGTGATTAGGGTCAAGTTTAGAACGAGGTTTAGTTTGTATTTAGGGTTACAGTCAGGGTTAGTGTTAGATTTAGGTTTAGACATGTAGGTGTGATGATTCAGGTTTGGGACTAGGAAGGCATTATGCAGATGAATGTCCTCACTAAGATAGAACTACAAGGTTGTGTGTGTGTGTGTTATCTCCCTATAGACTACAGCTCACTACACCTCCTTTATCAGTGGTCCACAGAGGCTGCATTGCCAAAGCATGAAAGGTCAAGTGCGTGGGTAAACTGTGGCTAAATGCACAATGAAGGCTGCAGGCGCCTCTTAACTGTCTGCTACTATCATACATGCAGGAGTGAAATCTGATCATCATGAAGACATGTTCATTCTCCTAAACCAGTCCTGTCTCCTCTGCATTCTTCACAGGGGAACATCGGAGGGGGGTGGTGTCACTTACTATTTGTTTTTGTCTCTCTGCCTTATACAAGGCGCCCTGAGGAGAGGCGACACAGTGTTTATCTATTCAGCGGACAACGGATTCTGCAGCTGCGCCCATGGGGCCCCTGAGTCATGCTGTTCAAAAATGGGAGGGGGGGGGGGGACTGATGCACCAGTCTGCACTGAATCGTAGAATGGAAGCCACCTTACCTCATCTGACACATCCTCATCACCACTTCTGAATATGACAAGGGAGTACAACAGAATCTCAATCATGCAGTAAACCAGGATATAGTTGCAGAGCATTTTCATGCACGCCCCAGGATTAGTGAATGGGGGTTATTGCCGGGCAGGCGAATTAAAATCCGAGTAAGCTCGTAATCACTGTGGCATTCAGATTCGGTATCAAACACATGAACCACCAGACGCCCTGAATCTATTCCACGCTCAGTTTCATGAGGGCGACGCTGCATCCGGCTCAAATTTCCTGCCTTGGAAATACAACTCATTAAAAGTGAAGGTCAGCAGATCGCTTCCTTCAAAACACAGAGTTGTCTGTGTGTGAGGAGAAGATGCTGCTGGAGTCAGTATCAACAGATAAACCGATTCTATTTTTGTTATGTGTCCCTAGTGTAGGAGAGTTACCTGCAGCATGATGTTCACGGCCCTGCAGTCCAAACCTAGACAGACTCTGTTTTGACTAAACTAGTGAGCTCATCCAAGGTCTGTTGGTTACAAACATAAACAATAAGAACCAGAGCTCATCTAACGGCCTGAAGGAGCAAAATGAAAAACAGCTCATTGTTATGTACGCCATCATCTATTTCTCTTTGTGGCCTTCCCCCTGTCCATTTCTCCGCTCTGCTTGCTGCACATATCTGCTATTGGAAAGGAGGAGGAGGTGGAGGATGTAGCTGACCGACTCTAGTGTGCTCCTTCTCATCCTATATCTCCAATCTGTCCTCCTTGCCATCCCTCTCTCCACCCACCCGCATCCCCTCCAGCCAGAGTCACCCTGCGTTAGCGTCAGTGTTTCCAGTGGAGCTGCAGGAGGACGAGGGGAAAGCAACACTGCGCCCAACAGAACACACACCCAGCAAAGTCCTTCCCCTCCCCCCCTCACCAATATCCCTCCTCTCCTCCTCCTCTACCTTTTCTTTTCCTCTTCACATTCAACCACTTCCACCTTTTTCTCTCCATCACTTTTCACACATCCCCTCCTCTGTCAATCCTGGTCTCTGAGGTGCACATGACTCTGCTGTGTGCGTGTGTGTTTGTGTTTGTGTTTGTATACTACACATCACAGTATGCCCTGTCTTGGCAGTCCACTCGGATTTGCTCACTCTGCTGTGTTTGGAGCTCAGGCCACATGAAAACAGTGACAGATGGAGAAATCGCAGGAAAAGAGGTGCATTGAGAGTATAGAACCAAACTGGCCACATTTCAAAATAACAGAAGGAGCAAGACAAAGAAGTGATCCATAACTAAATATCTATCTCACTATATTTACTCATCACTTTCTACATGTTCCTCTGTCTGCCACACACCCACATTAACACACACACCCTGCAGTCACCACACATCACTTCTCATCCAAGCCAGTATATGGAGCACAGGTCACAACATTTTAAATGAGCAGAACACAATTCCAAGTCTGCAGGGTTCAGTGAGTGTGTGTGTGTATGTATGTATGTGTGTATGTATGTGTGTGTGTGTGTGTGTGTGTGTGTGTGTGTGTGTGTGTGTGTGTGTGTGTGTGTGTCACTACACACCACAACTACATTTATCTGGGGGAAGCAAATTAAGTGTGTCATTGATTTTCAGTGTGAGCTCTGCCTTTAGCGTGGCTGCAGTCTGATTGATAACGGTCGTGTGTGTGTGTGTGTCTGTTTATCTGAGGTTTTCATGAATGGAACGCCTTCACTGCCCCCCCCCCCCTGTTGTCACGTTAAAAGATAATGAGCGTTAAAGTAACATTCAAGACCAAAACCCAGATATTTTAATCAGGGGGTCGGAACATTTATTAATTTAATAAGTTTATTTAATATAATGTAGAAAATATTCTGGGAAATATGTTTATTTGCTTTGTTGCAGAAGAGTGGTATCAATCCTCTCATCCATTCTGTAGCAACACTGTGAATGAGTGTATTTCCAAAAATATGAATCTATTGTGTTCAGAGACAAAGAAACGTATTTGCAAATTCTACTTTGTTGTTGTTTTCATTAACTGCGCAGGAATATCCACTGATGGAGATTAAAGGTGGATGGGTGAGACCTGCAGGTGGAGGTTGGTTTCATCAGTCAGACTCTGTAATGACAGCAAAAAGATAATGGGTTAACAGAGACTGGCACAATTGAATTGGCTGAGGTGATATAGAATAGAAACCATTAAACGAGTATGAGCTAATGAGAAAAAAAAGACTGATTGAACCAAGCTTAATGTCGGGTTGGATCATTTCACCCTCCCAAGAAAACTGCTATTTCTAAAATAAAGTCTCTTAAAATGTTCTCTACTTATAGCAAAAAAATCTTTGAGAGGTAAACTGGAATGGTTCTTAGTAGAGTACATACCTTCACCAACTGTCCCCATCAATTCAATGAAGCTGCACCAAATGTCCTCAGGCTCCATTAATTAAAATGTGTCATCTCACAATGTTAAATAAAGTGAAAATAAAATCCCTGGAGCCAAAATATAATGGGTTCTCTCCTGGCCTGAGTCCCGTCCTTCCATTTAGTTTTGTAGAAATCAGTTCAGTAGTTTTTGCATAATCCTACTGAAAATGAACAAACCAGCCACCAGACACACAAATGGCTGATCCTCTTTGTCGGATGTAATAAATTAAAGCAACTGATATGAGCTGATATTCAAAGAGTAGGAACATTGTGGTTCTTAGTGAGATTTGAGTCATTTTGCATGAGAAAGGATAAAAAAAAAAAAAAAAAAGGTAGACAGACACAATGAGCCAGACGGATCGGACACTGTGAGCATATTGTCCACTGGACAGGAGCCAGGTACTGTGAGGCAGCAAGTCACAGCTCTATTTTACACTTTTCCTGCAGAGGCAAGCTGCCCATGAGAACAATATGTGATGCCCGTGGACTCTGCTGGTTTTCAAGAGGCGAGGGCGCCAGGATGCTGAATAAATGCATGCTTGGCTGGTGATTAAAAACCCTTCATTCTCCCTGTCTGTCACAATAGCACATGAAATTAAAATTAGTCATGCTGGGCACCGAGAATGGTCGGCAACTGTACCATGCACGTAATTGCTGAAAATGAAACATGGAGGAATTCTGATATATGTGATTTAAAAGCTTTTCTTCAGAACTATTATACTTCACGAATACATGTATATTTGTTCCCATGGAAACTATTTTCTGATGAAGATTGAAAGTCAATTTTCAGGACTTGGCAGCAGAAACCGCAATGAATGTTTTGTTAACATCCTTCCAGCACTTTACCCCTGAACTCTTCAGGATAACACACTCCAGTATTTTCATTCTATTATTCAGTGTTCAGGTGTTATTTAAACAAGAAGACGTTCTGTGTCCTTCACCTGGAGAAGCTCCAGAGTGGGGAGAACAAGCTGCCACAGGGCACCGTTCACCTGCAACACTTGTTTATGTTAAGAGCTCAATTTGTGTTGGATAAGACTTGAGAGAGACAGAGAGAGATAGAGACAGAGTCAGAGAGAAGGGGACAGTGTGAGAGACGGAGAGACAGAGAGACAGAAAGAGAGAGAGAAAAAGACACACACATTAACTAAACTACTCAAAACTACAAAGTAAAGTGACAGTGTGAGATAAATAA